CACAAATCCACCACGCTGAGACACTAGGTCCACTCTTGGCCAATGGCAGCTCCTGGTCTTAATTAAATCAGATATTCCTTTTTTACTTAATAATAATAGGTAGCATTTGTATAGCGCAAATCCCCGCTCAACAGCAAGCTCGATGCGCTTCGCAATCTATACTATTACCCCAGCAGACCTGAGAGCATTCTGAAACAAACTCAACTTCCTGGGAAGCATACAGTGCAAGCGGTCATTTATAGGCGCTAAAACACTATCATACTGACAAGATCTTTCGCTGTCTAAGGCTGGGTACCCATTCCCACCTGGGTGAAAAGAAGAAAATTCGTGTAAAGTGCCTTCCCCAAGGTCACAACGTCGGGCCCGCGGCTCGAACCCCCGAACCTGCAACCTCACAACTACGAATCCGGTAACCTAACCACTACTTTCCCAAAGGGGGGATATTAACATGTTCTTATGAACAGCAGAATTGTAAATGGGCTTATATTTATCAACGTCATGCTCACTCTGTGCCAGAGCAACATAGGGGGAACTGTTGTTTTTTCTTTCCTTATCCTTATCGTCATTTTCCCTCTACTTCTTTTATGTATGTTTGTCACTCTCTTGTGACCTGTTATTTCCGGCGTGCCTTGATAGTTGAAGCAGACTTTGTGCTGTTGAGGCTAGAGAGGTGAGTAGAGTGAGCATGATTCCCTGTAAAGACTTCTCTGTTGACATCCACCCCTTGGCGCTCATATGGCCTTATGCTGTTGAGAGCGCCGTAAAACGTTACTAAATGCGTTTTTATTACTTTTATTGTTCTGATATTGCGTCTCCTTTATCTTTCTAGTATTACAATGTCCTCTGCTCTTATCACACCGGCATATTATGTGATGTAGTGGTGAGACATTTCGCTGTCACACATAGATAAAAGACACAAGTTCTACTCCATGCGTGTTGGGAGAATTTATATTTCTAACTCTTTCTGCTGAGGCGATTCGGTGGCCTAGTTGTTAGGCTCTCGGACTCGCAACCGTAAGGTCGTGGGTTCGAATCCCGTCAGGGGCCCGACGTTGCGTCCTTGGGAAAGGCACTTTACACGAATTTTCCTCACTTCACCCAGGTGGGAATGGGTACCCGGCTATAGACAGCGAAAGATCTTGTCAGTTTGTTAGTGTTTGAGCGCTTAATCGGCTGCTCGCACTGTATGCTTCCCGGGAAGCTGAGAATGTTTCGGAGTGTTCTATGGTCTGCTGGGGTAATAATATAGTGTAAAGCGCATAGAGCCTGCTGTTGAGCGGGGATATGCGCTATACAAATGCTATCTATTATTATTATTATTTTATTATCCCTGGCAGGCATGAGTTAGGGTGGAAGCAGTCCGCTTCTTACTACAGAGATTCAAATAGTGTCATTTGGGGCGTAAAACATCTACTGGAACTTTAATTACTTTAGTATCTTTATCATGATTCAGCTTTTTGTTTTCAATCAATCATTTCGCCTGATTAGTTTCTTTATATTAATTATTATCATATCTAAGTGGTATAACAATCATTTTTGAAAATCATTAATCTTTGCATTGTTCTTTCCAGGTGGGTGTCATTTTTTAGTTTTAGATTTTTTTATCTTTCAATTTAAGAGTGCGATTGTAATCCTCCGTTTACCACCGAGTGAACACCATAGAGTTTTCTTATGGTGTAAATCTATGATGAACACTTATCGTAATGTACTGTTATTGTATAGGGTATCGGATGTGTTCGTTTTTGTTTTTGTTTTGTTTTTGCTTTGTTTTGTTTTTGTTTTATTTTTTTCTTCTTAGCATTCAAGTCATTCGGGAAAAACGAAAAGGCCTACGGCTGCACACAAAATAGACCTAGGCCTAAGTGAAAGGGTGCGAAAAAAAAAAGAGAAAAAAAATGAAAAAATAGAAATAAAAATAAAAATCCGGGATCTAGGCCTAGGCTAATTAATCTGGAAACTGGACAGTGAAGATTGAAGAAACAAACCGGAAGCGGAAGTTGTTAGTCGATGGTGAAAGCGAAAGTGTCCTGAATTTAAAACAATAATTTTTGTTTCGTGTTAAAATCAATTTTTAGACTGGAAAGAAAGATTCATTGTTCGAGCAGCCGAGCAATAAATCTACATACCCAAGGTATGAGCCTCAGATTATGTCGGACATACCAAAGTCATTTCTTTCAAGATTTTATGGAAAAGATTGCAGTAGGCCTAGATCTAGATCTAGAATCTAGATCTAGCCTAGAATCTAAGATTCATCCCGGGCCAATGTATGCTGATACTGTTCCGGAAGAGCATGGGGGGAACTGCTGCTTTTTTCTTTCCTCATCCTTACTATTGTCATTTTCCTCTAGATCTAGATCTAGATCAAAGATTCTAGATATACTTCTTTTGGTGCTTTTTCAGTAGTGCCCACCCCCCCTTATTTGAGCCTAGATCTAATATACTCATATAGTCATATATAGAGATATATATACATATATATATATATATATATAATCAGTAGCCTATGTTTGATTACTTTGATGCACGGTGAGCTAAGATATCAAACGTAACAACTGCAAAACGTCAAATTATGGTAAAATTCAGGGGGGCATGCTCCCCTGAAACCCCCCCTACTCTTGAGGCCAGAACCGGCGAATATAACGTTACAATTGCGGGGTGGGAACTACCGAAAAAGCGCCCTTCTTTTGTATATATTTGTCACTCTCTTGTGAACTGCTGTTTCTGGGGTACCTTGATAGTCGAAGCAGACTTTGTGTTGTTGAGGCTAGAGAGGTGGGCAGAGTAAGTCTGATTCCCCGTTTGGACTTCTCTGTTGACATCCACCCCTTGGCGCTCTTGTGACCTTATGCAGTTGCGAGCGCCGTAAAACCTTACATAAAACTGAAAAAGTAGGCTCTGTACTTACACCTGTGTAATAAAAAAAACCCCGTCTTTGTATTGAACTTGTCCTGCAGATCATGTCGGGCGACACAGGATTGGACAAGATCGGAATCGCAACGGGGAAACATCTCAACATCGCTCTCACAACTTCATCAGAGCCACTGAACGCAATTCAAGAATTTCAAAATGTAAATGGCATTGATGCAGAGTCGCTGAAGATTGCTCTCCCTTTCCTGGATCTTCATGGAGTGAAAAGACTCACTCTGCACAACTCCATATTTGAGGCAATCCGTGATCGTCTTCTAAAGGTTGTATAGTGATTTCCTCTCTGAACTGGGTGAATGTAGATCTATTTCTAAAAGTGTTGTAGTTATAATGTCGGTTGGAGTTGGGGGTGGGGGGGTGGGGTGTTTGTGACATTTACATTAATTGGGGGGGGGGGGGGTGTCGTGGTGGTCAAAGAGGACTTGTTACATTGTTGAAAGGTTAGAATCTCAAAAATAAACGTTATAAAAGTAAAAGTGTTAGCTTTCGGAGTTTGTCTGTATTTTCTGAACAGAAATGGTAAGTGGGGTGCCTGGATGAGATTTCAGTTTCCAGGTTGAATTTTATATCTTTTTCTTACGGTTTATCAAGGCTTGCTGTCTGTAAGCAAAGACCTTAAAGCCGTGTGTGAACAACTAAAATGATATCCAAGCAGAAGGGTGATTACTAGAACGGATGTGAGGCCATTTTGTAAAGCAAACTTCAAGTTATGACAATTCTATAAATAATACCAACTACATGCTAATTCCATGATGTTATTGTAGGAACCGTAGTGACCAAACACCCAACTCTATAAACAGTTCCCAGACAATCATAGGTTTTATCTTATATTTGGCCCGTCTCAGTAACTATAACTCTAAAACATTGAAGACTTTGGTCCCGTGATTCCAAATAAAGGCTGAAAATCTCTCTAAAGGTCTTGAACATCCAGCTCTCACTAACAAAATTGAAGGCAAACGAGGCAGGGGTAGGCCCAGAGCAACCTACTTAAGGAACCTAAACAAATGGGTAACGGGGAAATATCAGGGAAATATATGTTGCTTTTTTAAGAGCATCCGAGCAAAAGAATGAATTGAGAACCATGATTGCCAATGTCTGTCGTAGATCTTGCACTGGATGATGATGTTTGTCAGCCAGAAGATAGATATTCATTGTTGTTTTTGTTTGTGTAAATCTTGTGCTATTGGCTGGCCTGTGATCTCATGAGATGAAGGAAAGGGATTTGCCGAAAGGACCCAATCTATTTGTATCTCGTTTTGTTTGTTCAAGTAGGACGCTACTTTTTATTCCACATTTGTTTGTTCAAGTAGTGGGTGGTTGGCGAGTGCTTTTGTGTGGTTTGCTTCTTCTTTCCTAACAAACATCTATCATCCTGATCTCTCCTCCTTCTTTTTTGTGTTTGTTACTCTCTTGTAACACCTCTAATCTTCAGCACTTGTATGACCTTATTGTTTTGCAAATGCCGGTAGACTCTTACTCCCCCCCCCCACCCCCACCCCCCGGGGCGGTGCCACTGACTGAGTTTCTTAAGGCCATTCCCAAAGGGGGGGACACTTCTCGTTCTTTTGCACAGTAGAATTGTAAATGGGCTGATTCAACAATGTCATGATCATAACTGCTTGAACTACGACAGGGAACTGTTGCTTTTTCTTTCCTAATCCTTACTATCGTCATTTTCCTCTATTTCTTTTGTATGTTTGTCACTCTCTTGTGAACTGCTATTTCCGGGGTGCCTTAAAAGCGCCATAAAACCTCTACTATAAAAAACAACAACAACACAACTCTTACTAAACTACAACTCTCTTGTAACACCTCTAATCTTCGGCACTTATGATATGACCTTATTGTGCTGCAAGTGCCGTAAAACACTTACTAAAACTGAAAAAAAATGTTAAAAATGAAGCTACTTTTTCTTCCCCATCTGTATCGGCGGTGAACAGAGAGTGTCGGAGCTGGCGGCCAGCACTGACCCAGAGTCCGTGCAGAAACTGGAGGCCCTGCTAGACAGCAGCTTCCCCGCCATCGCCAACAGAGACATGAGGCCCGTGGTGATGGCTGTGATGAAACATCTGCCGCAAGTCAAGGACGACTATCTCAAGCAGCTGCTGGAGGACAAGGTGAGGGCCACAGATTTTCCGTGGGTGGTTGGCGGGTGTTCTGGTGTGGTTTGCTCCTTCTTTCCTATCGAACAACTATCGTCTTTATCTCTCCTCCTTCTTTTTTATGTTTGTTACTCTCTTGTAACACCCCTAATCTTCAGCACTTATATGACCTAATTGTGTGTGTTGCAAGTGGTGTAAAATGCTTACTAAAACAAAACCAGCTTTTCCTTCACATTGTTTGCTCACATGATGTCATTCAGGGCTGCCCTTCATTTCAAATTTGGCAGAATCGTTACCATTTTTGTTTTCAATCTTATGAAAATACAATTTTAGCACCCTTGATACTAATTTTAAAAAAAGTTAGTTTGCAGTTCAGCTCTCTCTCTCTCCCTCTCTCTCTCTCTCTCTCTCTCTCTCTCTCTCTCTCTCTCTCTCTCTCTCTCTCTCTCTCTCTCTCTCTCTCTCTCTCTCTTTCTTTCTCTCTTTCTCGCTCTCTCTCTCTCTCTCACTCTTTCCCTCTCTCTCTTTCTCCCCCTCTCCCTCTCTCTCCCCCCTCTCCCTCTCTCTCACTCTCTCCCTCCCTCCCTCCCCCTCTCTCCATCCCTCCATCCATCCATCCATCCATCCCCCTCCCTCCCCCTCCCTCCCCCCTCCCTCCCTCCCTCCAACATCAGGATAACCGACTTCTTGTAACGTCCCAGGAACTGTACAGAGAGGCCTCGACGGAGGTAAAGCGCCAAATCTGGGAACACAACCAAGCACTGTTCGGAGACGAAGTTCAGCCGCTGCTGGCCCAGTACCTCAAGGAGAAGGAGTGGTCTCTCTACAACCACGACAGTCCCAAGCTGTCGTTTTTCTCCCCCTCACCCAAACAGCGCAGACAGAAGGAAACGCTGAGTCAGCTCATTGAGATGATCGGGTCCAACGTGAAGCTCTACGACATGGTGCTGCAGTTTCTGCGGACCTTGTTTCTGAGAACTCGCAACACGCACTACTGCACGTTGAGGTGTGGGGGGTTGGCGGGTGCTCTGGTGTGGTTTGCTTCTTCTTTCCTGTCAAACTTCTATCGTCTTTATCTCCCCTCCTTTTTTGCGTTTGTTACTCTCATCAATGTTTCAACTCGTCTGACAAAGTGTTTCAACTCATCTGACAAATTGTTTCAACTCGTCTGACAAAGTGTTTCAACTTGTCTGACAAAACGTTTCAACTCGTAAAATGTTTCAATTCATCTTGTGAAACGTTTCAACTCATCTTACAAAACGTTTCAACTCGTAAAATGTTTCAACTCATCTGATGAAATGTTTCATCTCATCTAACAAAACATTTCAATGCTTCTGACAAATTGTTTCAACTCAGCCGACAAATTGTTTCATCTCATCTCACAAAATGTTTCATCTCATCTCACAAAATGTTTCACTTTATCTGACAAAACGTTTCACTTTATCTGACAAAACATTTCACTTTATCTGACAAAACGTTTCACTTTATCTGACAAAACGTTTCACTTTATCTGACAGAACGTTTCACTTTATCTGACAAAACGTTTCACTTTATCTGACAAAACGTTTCACTTTATCTGATAAAACGTTTCACTTTATCTGACAGAACGTTTCACTTTATCTGACAAAACGTTTCACTTTATCTGACAAAACGTTTCACTTTATCTGACTCACTTTATCTGACAAAACGTTTCACTTTATCTGACAAAACGTTTCACTTTATCTGATAAAACGTTTCACTTTATCTGACAGAACGTTTCACTTTATCTGACAAAACGTTTCACTTTATCTGACAAAACGTTTCACTTTATCTGACTCACTTTATCTGACAAAACGTTTCACTTTATCTGACAAAACGTTTCACTTTATCTGATAAAACGTTTCACTTTATCTGACAGAACGTTTCACTTTATCTGACAAAACGTTTCACTTTATCTGACAAAACGTTTCACTTTATCTGACAAAATGTTTCACTTTATCTGACAAAACTTTTCAACCCCTCTGTAATTTACAGGGTGGAACTCCTCATGGCTATCCACGACCTTGAGCTGAACTCGATCTGTTCGAAAGACCCATGCCACAAGTTCACCTGGTGTGTCGATGCTTGCATCAGGGAGAAGGCTGTGAACACGTGGAGGTCGCGAGAGCTGCAAGGCTTCCTGGATTCTGTCAAGAAAGGTCAAGAGTTCGTGTTAGGGTAAGAAGGAGAAAGGCTCTTGGCACTTTACACAAATTTTCCTCTCTTCATCCAGGTGGGAATGAGTACCCAGCTATAGACAGTGAAAGATCTTGTCAGTCTGTTAGTGTTTGAGCGCTTAATCAGCTGCTTGCACTGTATGCTTCCCGGGAAGCTGAGAATGTTTCTGAATGTTCTATGGTCTGCTGGGGTAATAATATAGTGTAAAGCGCATAGAGCCTGCTGTTGAACGGGGATATGCGCTTTAAAAATGCTATCTATTATTATTATTATTATTATCTGAAAGCTGATTTATTTGCTTTGATTTCAATGAAATAAATATCCGTCAATGAAGGATGTGAGGTTGCCTGGTTGCAGTGGTGAAATTAGTGAGAAAATGGCCGCCAAAGTTTGGTATCTCCAATATTTATTTTATAGAGTACTTGAAAATAGTAAAGTGACAGATTTTGTGCTTTAAATCAATGTTTTTCAGTAAAATTCACATGGAAATGTGTTTTTATATGGACATATATGGTTGAGCCAAAAAATAAAAATTCGATAACAATTTCCAAACTTGTGGAAAAATACCTGTTTCTCCCATTTCTGTATTTTTGTATTTAGACGAGCGCCTGATTTCTCCAGGCTGCCTCCCATATTTGTTCACCAGAGATCTTCCTCTCTCTTTTCTCCCCCCCCCCCCCCCCCCCCCCCAGAGATCTGTCCATGGTTCTGTCTGACCCCTATGCCCTCAACACCATCCTACAGTCGCTGATGAAGATTCTCCAGAACTGTGTCAACACCGACACACTGCCCAGGGTAAGACTACGCCGTTGTTTGCTCAACTTAAGAAAAGAAAGAATGTGTATCACGACGCGGTGGAATCAGGCGCTCGTCAATTTTGGGGCATATGGAGTTATTGGTATCATCTCAAAGCCTGTCCATTTGCCTTGTTTTTGATGAAAAAATATCCATTTATCTTGGATACAAGTCAAGATATAGGCTATTGAAGGAGGTGGGGTTTGCCTGGTTTCAGAGGTAAAATTAGCGAGAAAATGGCCACCAATGTTGAGTTATTTTCTTAGCTTGAGAGTCTGTAGAAACTGAAAATTTACATCTTTTATGCCTTTAATCAATGTTTTTCAGTAAAATTCACATATATTTGTGTTTTTTAGTAGGCATGAAAGGTGTTGAGCCTAAAAAAACAAAAAATTTGATAAAAATTCCCAAACCAGCACAAAAATGTCAGTTTCTTGACTTTCCAGTATTTTGACGAGCGACTGATTTCACCACGCTGCCTCACATATAAATTAGATTTCCCTAAACTCCTTGTTGTATGTCTTTTCAAATTGGCTGTCTTTTTTAAACCTGGCACTGCATGTTTTAAGGTTACCAGCCACTAAGCTGTGGTTGTGATTTGTCTATGTCAGATGGAGAGAATATGTCAGATGGAGAGAATATGTCAGATGGAGAGAAAGCTGCTCGCAACTTGGGAAATTGTTGTCGGTTTTGTGTGATATTTATCATCGTCATGAATGCCTTTCACCTCACCCCTGGCAGGGTATAGGTCACATACAAGTTTCTTCCATTCATCTCTATCCTGGGCCATCCTTTCACCCCTAGCAGGGTATAGGCCACATACAAGCTCCTTTCATTTATCTCTGTCCTGGGCCATCCTTCCAAGCTCGTTCCAAGTGAGCTTCATCTCTCTCATGTCCCTTTCCACACATCTCCTCGTTTCCTGTGGCTTACCCCTGCCTCGTGCTCCCTTCGGGTTCCACTGCAGCGACTGTCTTGGGATGTTTTCGCTGGGCTTTCTGATGTGGTATTTATAGTAACACACGATGTCTCGTCCAATGTTTCTGTTGTTTCTCTCCCCCCCACCCTCTCCAGGACAACCCAGACCTACAGCTGTTGTGCAGAATGACGGCCCTGGGCCTCGGGGCCTGGGAGATGATCGACAGTGGCAACTTCAAAGAGCCGAAGCTGGTAGGTTGTAGGGCAGGTCGCGACCTCAGTGCTTTCTTGTCCAACTTCCATTTTTAACAACAGTGAAAACAGTTCATAGCAAAGAGTGAGCTTAAAAAGAAGTCACATTTTCACTATTTAAAAAAAATGGAGATACGACAAGTATCTCTTGTAATGCCTCTAATCTTCGGCACTTATAATATGACCATATTGTGTTGCAAGTGCTGTAAAACGCTTACTAAAGCTGAACTTAGACCTGCATGTTTGCCGACAATCGTTTGAAATCCGACAATCGCGATCCGACCCGCGAGCCGGCCGAAGCTATCGCTAGGCCCACCTGTATCAGTCAATGTGCGAAGTGCGAGACCTGGCCAACTGCCAGCGACCCCTTTTTCTCCCGTCGGCTTTGTCGGCACTTTCGTCTTCGTGCCAACTGCCGACTTCGGTGTTTCCGACATAATTTTCGGAAACTGAGTAGAAATGCGAATACGAAAAATTACGTCGACCTAAATTATCTACTTTCAGTTTCGTGCTCGAGAGGCCATTTTGAATTTCGCAAAATTTTCAGATAATCTGGTTGAGGCTCACATGCAGGTCTATAAACTAAAAAAAACTTGTTAAAACTAAACCGAATCCCAAATTCAATTTTTGGTATTTTCCCTGGTGCATAATATGCAGGTTTTTATCTTACTGATTTGCATAAGTCGCTCCACATAACGATAACAATAAAAAAAATGTTTTTTCCCCCCGGTGATTTTTCCATAGGCAACTCAACTATAATGATAACAATAACAACTTTTTCTCTTCCCCCCCTCCCCTCCCCCCCCTGCTGATTTTCCCATTAGCCGCTTAACTGTAATGATAACAATAACAACTTTTCTCTCCCTCCCCCACGCCCGCGCAGGAAGCGTCTTTCTTCACCAAGTTCCTGTCCTACATGGTGACGCTGATGGCCGAGGACCAGATCCGTTTCTTCACGTCCAAACTCCCCGGGGAGCTGGTGGTTCCCCCGTGTCTCCCCCCGGACATGTACGCCACCTGGATCAGCCAACACCCCCTGGCCAGCATGGTGGCTATGTACTACACGCTGCAGGTACACACAACACAACACAACACAACACAACACAACACAACACAACACACAACACAACACACAACACACAACACAACACACAACACACAACACAACACAACACCAACACAACACACAACACAACACAACACACAACACAACACAACACAACACACAACACAACACAACACAACACAACACAACAGCATGTTCGCTGTGTACTACACTCCGCAGGTACACACAACACAACACACACGCTGCAGGTACACACAACACAACACAACACAACACAACACAACACAACACAACACACAACACAACACACAACACACAACACAACACACAACACACAACACAACACAACACCAACACAACACACAACACAACACAACACACAACACAACACAACACAACACACAACACAACACAACACAACACAACACAACAGCATGTTCGCTGTGTACTACACTCCGCAGGTACACACAACACAACACACACGCTGCAGGTACACACAACACAACACAACACAACACAACACAACATAACACAACACACAACACAACGCAACACAACACAACACACACAACACTACACAACACAACACACAACACAACACACAACACAACACACAACACAACACAACACAACACAACACAACACAACACAACACACAACACAACACACAACACACAACACAACACACAACA